GGTGCTCCCCCTCCCCTGGGACCTGCTGCTCCCCCTCCCCCAGGACCTGGTGCTCCCCCTCCCCCAGGACCTTGCCTGCCTGTGGAGGGGAAGGGCAGCTGTGATTAGGGGCGGCTCAGCAGGGAGCTTGGCTTCGGGGGCCCCTGGCTTCTGGGCCCCCTCACTTTTCACGACTCACTCTCGGGCATGAGCACGCCTCCCGGCCTCACAGAGTGGGCGCTGGGGGGCCGGCTTCCCTCTTGGACGGCAAGGGCAGCGTGGTGGGCAGTGATGGGGTCAGCGGCCCGCAGCCTCGCGGGGTGGAGTCCCCGAGGTCCATGCTGGCCTGCAGGCCTCTTGGGAGGGCATCCCAGAAAAGCTGTGAATTGTCCCTGGAGGAGAGCGCCCCTTCTTCCTGCGCTGTTGGGCTCTGCAGGCCCCGTCATGGAAGGCGTGGCCCCCCGTTGAGCGTCCAGTTGTCCTCTCAGGGGTCCGCCTGCTCTGCTCCTGGGGCCTGCGGGAGTGTTCGGGGTGGACGCGTCTTCGGGTCGGGCTCCGCTCTGAGGGTGGCCGGTGAGGCTGTGAGGCAGAACGTGGGGTGCCACACGGGGCACCTGCTCCCAGGACTCCCTCTCACCCGAGGCCGGGAACAGGGGCTTCTGCTCAGACACGTCCGGCCCCGCGGGGAGCGGTTTCTGCCGCCACCGCAGGGCGAGCTGTGCCTTGGCCGGTGCTGGCACCGCGATGACCGCGGAGACGGGCGTGAGCCGAGCTCCTCAGGCGGTGGCCGGCAGCCCGCGTGCAGACGCCGCCTGTGGCTGTGCAGCGCCGCCGACTCCCTCACGGAGACACAACTTCGGTTTTCATGAGGTTAAAAGGAGACGCGCCGAGGGCTTGGGGTTGTGCCATGAGAGATGATCTTTCTTGGAAGCCGGCCACGCAGCGGGCGGCAGCGAGGCCCAGGCCGGGCGCCCTGGAGCGCTTCTGACGGGAGGGCGTGTGCGCGTGCGTGGGTGTGGGCGGCGCTGGGGGCAGCCGCAGGCCCTGCTTCTGCCAAATGCGCAGGTGAGGACTGGGGGACGTGCGGCCCCACCGGGCAGGAGGCGCCAGCTCCCCGCGGATGCCGCCCGCTGCCCTGTCCAGCCTGCCCCGGGGACGGCCCCCAGCATGGACAGCAGCTGGACGGCGGATGACGCGGCGGTGGCGGTCAGCGGCCCCGTCTCCTCACACCCTGCTGGCTCCCCCTGCGCGGGCCGGCTTCCACCCCTGCACACCGGGAAGGCCAGCGAGCGCGCTGCTCTGCTGGACGCCGAGGCCTGCGCCCTGCTGGGGGCATGGCCGGTGCACTCGGGCCTTGTGGACCGGACGGTCCCGCGTTTCCTCCTCCAGGGTTTCCACGTGAGTGTCCTGTGCCCGCTGACAGAGGCCCCGGCCCCTCTGCCTGGTTTTACAGAAGAGGACGGACCCAGGGCTCTGGCCTCGTGGCCTGTAAGGTGCGAGGCAGGATGGGGGCTCCCATGCGCCCCCCTCCCCGAGAAACCGGTGGTGCCGTCCAGCCGGGCTCCTTGGGAAGCCCCTCAGCGCAGGCCCTGGCCCCTGGCCCGCCTGACCGGAGGAGAGGCCCCTCCCTCACCCCGCAGGCCGCTCCCCTGCTGTGTCTGGGTGTCACCTTCAGGAGCCGCTGGCGCCTGCCGGGCCTGGTCTTTGCGGCCCCCGGCGCTGGGAGGCTGGGGCTGGCACGCCTCTGTCACCTTTGCCCCGTGGCCCAGCGAGTGTCCTCCCTGGAGCTGGGAGCCAAAGGCATTTGCTTTCGTCTGTGCTGTGCGTCAGACCCACGTGGAAAGTTGGTTTCCTGCCCGCAGTTTTCTGTCTGCAGACCATGGTGTTTACGGCGCCGTGGCCGTCCCTCCTGGCGGGGGACATCCCAGGCTGGGGCCGCTCATGCCTGGCGGACGGACCCCCATGCCTGGCACCGGGGGGGGGGGTCCCGGCCTTGGGCACCGGAGGCCGAGCGGGCACAGCTGTCCACACAGTCCTCGTGGGCTCGGCTGTCCAGTGGCCACTGGCCCCTCACTGGCTCCCGCCTGCCAGGAATGGCCTGTCCTGGAGCAGAGGCCCCGGCCTCACGCTGGGCGGGGGGGGGGGGCAGCCCTCAGCCTCTTGCTGACCCTCCGGTTTACCTGCAGAATGTTGTCATCTGATGAGCGCGTAGACGGGCCGGGACGCGCCGCTCCAGGGGGCTGCCGCGGGGCGCGGGGGCCGCGGGGTCGGGCGCGCCCAGTCTGGAGGGCGATGACTGAGGGCCGCGTCCTGCCGCCAGCCGCCCCGCGCGGCTCAGGGAATCGGCTTCTCCGGGTGCTCCCCCCTCTACTCCGGTGGAGGCTGCAGGCGACTCCACATCGAGAGACGACGGATGTTTAGTTGAAGTTAAACCTCTTCCCTCGGGGCAGACGGAGCCGGCCGGCCCGTGGGCCCCGAGCTGGAGCGCCGCGGCGCGGTGATTCAGGAACCCACATCCGGCTGGTTGTGGGGGCCACGCGGGGAAGCTCGCGGGGCGCTGGCCGGGGCGGGTGGGCACTCGCTGGGCCTGGACCAGCTGCCGTTCCTCCCGCCCTCCCCTGCGCAGGACAAGAGTGAGCAGAAGGTCCTGCCTTCGTGTCCCGGGGCGGGGGCGCCCGGCCTTTGGGAGACGGCCTCAGTTTCCCCTCCTGCGTCTGAACAGTGGACGGTCAGGTGCGGAGGGCCGGAGTCTCAGCAGAAACGCGTGTCTGCCTCGGCGCCGGGCGGGCCCGGAAGGGCAGTGGGCCAGGCGGGACGGGGCGAGTGTCCCTCGAAGCAACGCGTGCTCGCGGCGTCTGCGAGGACAGAGCTCGTCAGCACGAGGGGAGCCAGGGAGATGGGTCTCCCCGCCTGCAGGAGAGCTCTGTGTCGGGCAGCGAGAGGACAGTGGCGAGGGGAGGGAGTGGGACCCCGAGGGCTCCTGTCCACACCTGGTCACCGGCCTCCGCGGCTCAAGCAGGGAAACTAGCGGCCGCTTCCTGAATGGGCAGGGGACTGGGCCCTATGTCCCCAGGTCCCTCAGACGGCCTGCTAGCAACGAAGATGCTCCAGGCCCTGGCCAGAGCCACCCCGGCCGTCTCAGGGGGTCGACCCTGCGACTGCAGCCGTGTCTGGCAGAGTGGAAGTCAGCCCCAGCGAGGACGTGGAGACCCGGGACCTCAGGCGCCCCGGGGAGCTTTGGGGACATTGTGCCACAGACAGTAGACAGACGTGGTCACCACGCCCCTCACGAGGACGCCTGGCTTTGGCACGTGTGTCCACACAGAAGGTCCAGCAGTGTTGACCAGGGACAGGCGGCGTGAGGAGTCTGCAGTGTCCTCTGGGGTGACGGGACCCCTGGAAGCAGGCAGTGGAGGTGATGACCGCAAGGCATTGCCGGGGCGACCCTCACTGACCAGGAGGGGCGGCCGCGCCCTGCACCCCCACCCCGCCCCTGCTGGGGGAGCTCATGTCCAGAGGCCGCCGGGGGCCCTCCGCTCCGGCGTGTCTCGCCCCTGCACGGCCGCCGCCGGGCTCTGCAGCCCTCTCGGCTGGTTCAGAGCAGGGGTCGGCGCTGCCTGGCTGAGGACGGCTCGGCCATGGTGATGTGCTCGACCGACATGAAGCTGGCTCAGCAACAGCGATTTGGTGTGATTTCCATTTATTCTTGTTAGCTTTTAATTGAAAGCAATCGCTACGCCTCAGCTGGTTCAAATCCTCCAATGCGCTTTAATTAAAAAAAAAGCTGCCTCGTAACTCAAACTAGGCTAATTGAAAGGACTTTTTAATATTTCTCTATGCTGCCTCGGACAGTTTATTAATGAATTTATGTCTAATTAAGAAAACAATAAGTTTAAATGGGAAGGTGTTAGTCCCGTGACTTATTTCCTGATTCTCTAGCGGAGGGTGCAGGGTTGCATTTCAAACCCGGCTGGGGAGCTGCTCTTTGGACACGGCCCCCTGCACAGCCCCCTCCGGGCCTGCCCTCGCCTTCCGGGACCGCTGGCGTGGCCCGTCTGCCGAGAACTGTGCCCGCGCCAGGCGGGGCCTCTGCACCAAGGCTGTGGCTTCCTGGCGGTGAGGCGGTTCCGGCAGCGAGGTTGCTCGGGCATCTGGGTGCGCGGCCGCTGGGCCTCAGCGCGCTGGGCGTCTCGCTGCACACCGGAACTTTCCAACTCCTAAGAACTCTTCAAAAGTTCTATCAACGCTTAGTCATCAGACCCTCCCACACCATCTACCCACTTGCACATCAAATATCCTGAAATAGAGTAAAGTCATTTATCTCTATTAAAAAAAAATACCACCCTGGAAATCATGATTGCAGGGACTGACACCTGTGACGAGTCTGGGCTTTGAAACGCGGGGATCTGCAGGGTGGGGGGGCTCTTCTCAGCACCCAGATTGTCCTTTTCAGTCAGCACATTGCCTGCTTAGCTCTGGGAGCAGGTGCAGTGGCCACGCCTCGGTCATCTTAATTGGCAGCAGATTAGTGCGTCTCCTGGTCCGTGGGGTGACTGCGTCCTGTTTGGATGGTGACTTTTAAAGTTTTGTTTAAAAATAACGTGCTACGCTGAACTCCATATCAGAGCACACTGTTGTCATGAGTTTTCCACGATGGAAATAACAGGCCCTATTATTCCCTGCACTGTGCATGTGTGGAGGCTGGGAGGGGGCTGGGTCGTGGCTGGGGGGAGGCTGGGGGAGGCTGGAGGAGGCTGGGGGAGGCAGGGAGGAGGCTGGGGGAGGCAGGGAGGAGGCTGGGGGAGGCCGGGGGGGAGGCTGGGTCAGCCACCTGCGTGGGGCAGCACACTGGGCCTCCCTGACTCCAAAAGTGAGGGCCAGAGGAGAGAGGGGCCCCGCCTGAGCACGCGGGTCTGAGAGCCCAGGAGTCGGCCCACGGAGCCCCGCCTGCCCCAGACGCGGTGGCTGGCGGTTCCTGTGACTTGCGGCCTTTCCGCCTGTCACGCCGACGCGCCCGGCGCCGGGTGCAGCCCAGGTCCAGCGGAGGCCGAGAGCCCCGCAAAGGCCGGCATCGCGTCTCGAGATCGGATTCCCTCTTCAAGTGTAAAATGCAGTGATAATTTGCACCATTTAAGAAAGTTTCTGTGCAAACACGTGTCATTCTGACACGGGTCGCGTTTGCCTTTGGGGAGCGGCCGCCCGTCTGTCCTCGCCCTTCCCGCGGTGACCCTGTGTAGACGAGAAGGCAGGACGGGGCGGCCTCCGCGTGGTCATCGAGGTGTGCCTCTCCTCCCGGTCTCTCGTCCGCGCTTCTCGCAGGAGGGGGCTCCCCGTGCGGGCGCCGGAGCGTGTGTGAGGCTGTGTGTGAGGCCTGGCTTGGGGCCTGGGCTCCAGCTGGAGCTGGCACAGCGGCTGGACACGCAGGCCAGGTTCCGGGCTGCAGACGGGACGAGAGCGTCTTCTGGGGGAGACCCTAGCCTTATGGCCTTTGGCCGAGCGGGGGGCATCCCCACTCCGGAGTCAGTGTGGCTTCTCGCAAAGTTGGCTGATTTGAATGGTCTGTCCCTCTAGGCTGGGCTCGGCCAGCCGCTGGGCAGCACAGCGTGAAATTAGCCGTCACCGGAGCGGGTGATTGGGGAAAACAGCCGGTCAGCTGGAAGGGTGGGGGAGGCAGAGAGAGGGCCGTCTCCCAGGCAGCCCTCACCTCCCTGCTGGAGACTTTCGGCCCTCACAGACCTGCGCAGCGAGCCCCATTGGCAAGGAAAAAGGCCTCTCAGTTCCAGAAAGAATCATCTGGTCCCTAATTTCCTATGTGGGAACATTGTAAGAAAGTAATACTCGAAGAAGTGGGGTCTAGTCTCCAGTCAGTGGGTTTCATGGGTGGCGCGGCGGGTTGAGCGCTGCGCTGTGAAGCTGTCGGCAGCCTCTGCAGTGTGTGTTTGATTCCCCCCGCCCCAGCCAGGGAGCTCCCCACAGGGCGCAGCAGACCCCTCCTGTCTCCCCGCTGCTCCCCTCAGCAGTGTGTTTCCTTAGATCTGCCTGTCTGCTCCCCACTCTGTCTCTGGTGAGTCCTTTCACCTGCTGAACCTCTGGCCTGTACCCCAGTTCTTGTATAAATAAATAAATCCTTAAAAATAAAAGATTTAAAGTTTCCGATTTCGAAGCTCCCCAGTCATTACATCTAGACTACGCTGCTTGTAACGGGGGCTACGCAGCCAGGCTCCCCTCACTGTGTGATTCTTACCAGAAACAGAAACATGCAGCGGGTCCTCCAGCTTTCCTCAGACACTCAGGACAACTGGATAAAAGCATGAGCGGTGGTAAGTTCCCAGGATGGTGAACTGGGGTCCAGAGAGGTTCCCCCCACTCCCGCCCCGCCCTCCCTGCCCCCTGCCCTGCCACCCCACGGGAAAGCCCCCGCCTCCCTCCCCGCTGGCATCTGCAGGCACAGGCGGGTGTGCGTGGCCCGGCTGTGAGCGTCACAAGAAGCGCCTCTTGCATTCCACGGCCCTCTGCCCACCTGTCTCCGCCGGCCACGCCGCCTGGCGCTGCTCTCCTCGCGGCTCTCATTCCATGAGCGCAGAGGCCGGTCCTTGGCACAAGCACCGTGGCCGGACACTGGCTGGCCCGCCAGGTTCCCGCTCGGTGAGAGAGCAGGGCCGGGAGCAGTGCAGGGCCGGGTGGCCGGGACTGGCCTTCTCTGGAACAGCTGGGCGCGGTGTCGCCCCAGGCCTCGCAAGTGGATGTTCCCCAGCTCGTGGGTGCTTGTGCGTGACCACCCAGGTGGCCCGCTGGGCCGTGTGTCTCCTGCACCTCCGCTCCCCTGCACTCCGGGGTCACGGGTGTTGGCCAGGCCCCTGGTCCAGGCGCCTCTGTGGGGGAGCCCCGCCCCCCCAGGCTCTGGGCTCCTGCTCACTGTGGCTCTGTCCACTCTCTTGCTGGCGCCCGCTGAGCACACCCCTGCCCGGGCGGCACGGGGGCTGCACTTTCCTCTCACGCGAGGGTGCGGCCGCGTCCTGTGGTGGGCTGGCTGGCGTGGCCGCGGCTCGGGCCCAGGGCCGCCGTCGGGGGCGTTCTGCCTTGTCTCCCGTGCGCGGGGCCTCCGGTCCAGCAGTCGTGCTGCCGGGTCCCTCGCTCGACGGCCACGCGGCTCCTGCGCAGCGCGGGGCTCGGGCGTGTCCACCGGGAGAGGCCCCGCGGCCAGCAGCCCTGTGCCTGCGGCCGAGGAGGAGCCGGGGCGGGCTCTGGCCGGAGTTCGCCTCCCCGGCATCTGGGAGGCTTATTGGGGGCTCCCAGCTTCCTCCCGTGGCCAGCGACGTGCGGGGGCGGTGAGGGCGGAGCGAGGGTCGGGGGCTGCCCAGCCGCTGCGGTCCTGCCCGGGAGAGGCGCCCGCGCCGCCCTGCCTGTGCGGGAGTGAGGGGTGACCGCGCGGGGTGGACACGCCAGGGGTGTGGTGCGGGGAGCGCACCCGGGGGCGCCCTGTGGTCAGTGGTTCCTTCCTGTCCTTCCACTCTGGGCCGAGTCCAGCGCGGCCTGAGGACTCAGTGCGCACAGGGGAGCTGTTCCAACCAGGGAGGCAGGTGGCCAGTTCTCTGATGGTCTCCCGGGCCAGGACGGCCTGTCCAGCACCGGCGTAGTGCGTGAGGTTCATCTGGAGGCCTCTTCCACGGACAGCACCCCGTCCCGGGAGCTGAGCCCCTGGTGTTGGGTGTTGAAAGCAGAGGCCAGGGGCTCTTTCTCTGAGCTGGAGGCCCGTCTGCTCCGGGTGGGCTGGTCGCCTCATCCGGGTCGGCCTGGCCAGTGTCAGCAGGGGCAGTCTAGTGTCCTGGGAACCCCTCAGTGCGGGCATCCCTGGAGGGTGCGCCACGGCCCCCCACCTTCCAGGGGGCACCCCACCACCAAGCCGCTTGGCCCCTCCACACCTGCGGGACCCACACAAAGGCCGGTCCTGTGGACACGGCCTGTGGGCCTCGCTCATGGGGGTCCAGCCACGCCGCCCAGGCATCTTGCCTCCCCTGGGGGCGCCCACTAAGCCCCTTGGGTCAGAACTTTCCTTCTCCAGGACTGGACCGGCCCCCCCAGCAGCTGCTGCCCCACGGCGGATCTGGCCTGCTCTTCCAGGTGTGAAGGGAGCCACACGCCTGAGGATACCCCTCTGGTCACTGCGAGCACCTCCAGGCCAGGTCCTTCCCTGGGAGGGGGCGAGGTCCTGTCCCTTGCAGCCGACCCAGAGCCACGGCCTTGCTCTGCCCGCTCAGCAGCGTCTACAGGGGTGGCTGGTGTGTGGCTCCATGGGGGCCTGGAAAGCACGGCCCGTCCTCACCCCGCGTGTGGCTGCGTTTCACTGTGCAGATGCTGGCGCTGTGCCCGCCCCCTCCCGTGCCCGTCAGAGACCTGCTTTTCCACTGGGGAGGAAACAGCTTTGAAGTTGCTGGGCTGGGGAGAAACCGATTGTCCCAAGTTGTCCGTTGACAAAGTGATTCCTGTGTGCTAGGGGCCAGTCTTTCGGGCCCCGTGGCTGCGTTCCCCTTGGCTTCCCAGCTGGTGGGCGGCAGTGACCGTTCGTCCTTGAGCCTGGCCGGGGTGGCGGGGCCTGGTGAGCACACGGAGACATCAGCTGGCCGCCCGAGGGGAGCTTGCTCTGGGGAGTGGACGCAGTGGGGAGAAGAGGACAGTCTCTGTTCACGACCGCCTGCTGGGCCTCCTTCCTGAGGTCCAGCCACACCTCCCGGGCAGCCCCGGGGCCTGCCCCGTCCTGGGTCACACACGCTGTGGGGGCTGCGCCCTGATCCCCATGTGCCCGTCTTGTCTTCCCTGCTGAGCACGGCGAGGGCAGCGGCCCTCAGCCCGCAGCTGCGGTGCAGGGAGCACAGGCCTGGCCGCAGCCCCGGCGAGGAAGTGGACTGACGTGCGGAGGCCTCGGGGGACTCGGCCCTCGCTTGCGTCCGTGTCCTGCGGCCGGGGCCGGCGGACCCGCCCACATCTGACCTGGAATGCGCCTCTGTGCGCTCGGAAGGAGAGACAGGAAGCTCCGCGGCTCTCGGCACCGCCGGCGGGGAGGCGGGCGGGGAGGCGGGTCAAGCTCCGTGTCCACGAAAATGGTGCCACCTCCTGCGGCTCCCCTCGTTCTCGGGGCCCGATGCCCGCGTCCCTGCCCGGCCGGCCAGCGTGGGGGCGGGCGGGTCGCAGGAGCAGAAACCGAAAGTGACCGCAGCAGCGGGCCGGGCAGCGGAGCCATCCCTGGACCTGGTGACCGGGTGGGCGCCCGGCCCTCCCCGCGCCCCCCGCCGAGTGGGTCTTACCCACCAGCTCCACTTGGCCCAGACGGGCTTTCAGGTAGAACTTGGACCGTTTCCATCCGGGCTGCATTTCAGAGGAGCTCGAGCTCGAACTGGTGCTTGGTTTAGCTTCACGTCCCTCTTTCAGCAAAACAACAAGCGGCCGTGTCCTCGCTCTGCCCTTGCGCGAGGCCTCTGCTGCTGCCCCGCCGCCCCTCAGGGGAGCACCAGCTCCCCTTGGCCTGTGGGGTGCGGGCGGGGGCGGGGCTGGGCTGGGCGAGGGGTTTTCGAGCGCCAGGCCGCCTTGTCGGGTCTGCCGCCTCCAGGATAGCGGCGGGAGTGCCTCTGTCCGTCGTGCGTGTTCTTACACGTCGGGGTGAGTCGGAGGGCCTCGCCCCTCTGGCCTGCACCCGGCTCTCGGATGCCTGAACAAATGAACCTTTAATGGAAAGACGAGTCAGCATCACCCGAAGAATACGGAGGGGCCTGCGGCACGGGGGCAGGGCCCACGGGGGTGCGGGCGGGCGGGTGGTCGGGGTTTCTAGTGGGGACTGCGGGTGAGGGCGAAGCTGCAGAGGTGATTTGGGACTGGTTTGTGGAAACGCTTCGGGCCGTGTTAACAACTTTGACTAAGCGATAAGGGGCGGCTGTAGGTGTTTGTTTTCGCTGAGGTGAAGTTAGTTCACAGCGTGGTGTGCGCTTCAGGGGTGCGGTTCCTGCCTCCGCAGGTGGAGGTCACCGCACCACACTCCCCCGAAGCCCCCGCAGCCCTCCACACAGCGCACGGCCCCTCCCACCCCCTCCCACCCCCTCCCTGCTCCCTGCTCCAGTCTCCCCCCCGCAGGCTCCGTCTTTCGGTCATGTTGAAGGTCGGTTTGGTTCGGTTCTGTCTGCTCCTTTGCTGCGTTTCTCCCTTTTCCGCAGTGAAATCATCCGGTGTTTGTCCTTCTCCTTTTGAGCTGCTTCTCTTCCAGGCATCCCCTCCGGTTGCAGCCACGTTGTGGCCGGATGGCAGGGGCTCCTCTTGTTCAGAACCGGGTGGTGTTCCCCGGTAGCCCGGCCAGGCCCCTCACGCACTCGCCTGCTGCAGCGTAGGAGGGGCTGTGGGGCCCCGCGGACAGGGCTGGGGATGGCTTCGGCACTGAGCATCCGCGGTGTGGACGGACGCAGCTCGAGGCAGAGAGGATCTGGCGGGACGGACCAGCGATGCGGCGACGCGAGTGACTGTGATAAAAGGAGTGAAAACGTGGGAACCTTTCGTCTGCGTGAGGTGGCAGCAGCACCAGCTGGCGCCAGGGCTGCAGGTGGCAGAGGGGCGGGTGGCCCGACCTCTGCTTGGCCCTCACTTTCAGGCGCAGGCCGCCGGAAGGGGACCCCGAGTGGGGCCAGCTGGGGAGGGAGAGGCCGAGGGCGCTGCTGGGCACGGAATCTGCACCGCTTGCGGGATGAACGCGCTGCAGGGACGAGGGGGCTGGGGCCTCGTCTTGGGCTGGGGCTGAGGGGTTCAGGGCCAGGCGTCCTTTAGAACATTCTGTGTCTTACCTTTCATGCTGCCCTGCAGAGCGGGACTGCGCTGTGCGCTGACCCAGATCATTCCCCACTTAGTTGTGACTAATAATAGGTGGTGTGGCCCCCACGTCCCCGTTCCCGGCTTCCCTCGCCGTCCACACTTGGCAGTTCTCGGCTATTGTCAAATAAGTATTTGATTCGTTGGCGGCTGGGTTCTGGGGTGTGATCCATGGAAAAGATCCAAACGCTGGCAGGTGAAGAAGGCGCCTCCCAAGGCCGCGCGCCGGGGACCCGCGCCTGCCTCGCGCCTGCCGTCTCCGGGGCTCGCGGCAGGGAGGCGGGCGTGACACGCACGTCGCTGAAAGGGCGGCTCCGCTGGGGCCCGGCAGCAAGCGGAAGAGAGGCTCTTGCGGGTGACCCCCCCTTCTGTTTGCCTCTTGATGGTCTCGCGGTCAGATTCGAGTCCCTGCGCTTCACGTGTTGTTTCTGCTCACAGAGCTCGCGCGGGGCCGGGCCGCCGCCGCCCATGTAGTCTGGTGTTGAGTTTCTGCTCCGCTCCTTCGAAGGGCGCATCTGGGCTGGGGTCTGCGTGCTCGGCCGGGCTTCACGGGCAGCGGCTGAGCCCCTGAGGGGGCGTCTCTCAGGCTGGCCCCTGCCCGGCCCATGCACCCCTCTGCTTCCCTGGGCTCAGACGGGCGCCCCAGGCCTCTTTCTCTCGCCCTTAGCCAGTGGGGGGCGTTGCACCCCTGCCTGGAGCACATACTGGTGTCCACATCCGTATTGCGGGGTGGGGTCCCCCCGAGGGTCCGGAGTTTGGAGAATCCCAAATGCTCCCCACCAGGAAGCTGCTGTTGCCCCCTCCGTCTCACTGGTCTGCTCTTGGGGTCATGACGGCTGATCGCGCTGCTGTGTGGGGGCACCTCTGACGTGGCCAGGACATGGCGACTTTGGACCCCGCGGCCTCAGGCAGTCTTCACACGCCTGGGGATGGGGGGGTGCAGGCACCGGGGGCAGCGTGACCTGGACAGCCCCAGGGCTCGGCTGCGGTGCCTGCGGTGCCTTGTGATCCCGCACAGCCGGGCGAGCCTCACCGGCCAGGGAGGAGCGGCTTTTGAATGAAGGACACCAGGTGGCCGGACGCCGCCCTTGTCGCACCTGCGGTTGCGCGAGCGACAGTGTGTTCCACCCGGGCTCTGTGGCGGCCACGAGGACATCCCGTGGCTCCGAGGAGGAAGGCCTGGGTGGCCACGAGCCCGAGGGCCCCGGGCAGGCTCGGGGGTCTGCTCCAGAGAGCCGATGCCACGGCCTCGTCAGCACGGCCTGCCGGGGCCACCAGCGTTCCCGAGACCCTCTGGAAACGGACCCGCGCTGCCGGCTCCTCATCCGTCTGCCATCCCACCAGGCGTCACTCACAGTCTGGCTTCGCCACCCTCGGCTGGCAGGACGCAGGCAAGGGCTGTCCCTCCAAGTGGGTGTTGAGCAGGGACAGCCGGTGAAGATCCTGGAGGGAGGTCTGGGGGGCTTGGGGAGGATCCTGGGGGGCTTTGGGTGTTCTGGGGGGAGCCTGGGAGGCCTGCAGGGTAGACAGGGTCACGGCGTGGACGCCCTGGTGGCGCAGCGCCAGCAGTGCCCTCTGCCCCGCCTGCCTTGCTGACCCGGGGGTGTTTGCACATCTGGAAGGCAGAGTTTTGGTTTCAGTTGTCTTTTGCCCACAGGAGTTTCTGTCTTGTGCGTGTAGGGTTGACTTGCTCTAAAAAATCAAAGTGTAGGTGTGGGGGCAGCGGTCAGCCCCCCGCCTGGCCCCCTCGCTCTCCCCCGTGGGTGTGGGGCAGGTACAGGAATGGTGCCGGCCGCTGGACTCGTGTGTCTGCCCATGCGGCGCTCCCTGGGTGGCCACGCGCACAGAAATAGCCCATTTTTTTGCAGATTCCACACAGGGGCGCGCTTACGGGCAATGAAGCACGTTTCACAAAACCAGTGGTGAAGGTGCTCCCCCGGCCCTTGGGAGGGGTCTCCAGGGCGCCCCACCTGGCTGCCATGTGGACCTGGCCTGCCCCCAACTCTGCTCCAGGTCAGATTCTCGTGTGACCAACATCGGAGCTGCCCGTGGTCACTCCAGGGGAGTGTGCGGATTCCTGGGCTCTCCATTCAAGTCAGCCCCTTCCCTGCCCAGAGGGCCCAGCTGAGTGAGCCCCAGAGGCAGTAGGTGTGTCCTCCAGAGCCCAGGCCGGGGGTTGGTAGCCGGCCCAGTGCTTTGCTGAGAGAGGGTGTGAGGGAGACTGGGATGCGGTGGGGAGCACCCGGCTTGTGCACCTGCCCCTTGGGCCTTGGAGCTGCTTTCCTGGTGTGATGCTCCTCTCCTGTCACGGGACGCCCCGGAGAGCGCTGGGCGAGGGCGGGGCGGGGGCAGTGGGCTTGCAAGGAAGAGTCTCGGGGAAGGTGCAAGCGCAGACCCAGAGACAGGCTGCCTCGCCAGCCACTGTGCGTGTGGCCCCGCTGCCAGGACGCTCTCTGGAGACGTCGGCGAGTGAGCAAGCACATCACCCCATTTCCTGATGCCTGGCGAGTCACGGTAATTGGTGGCACAGGACAGGGCTGCTAAATGTCGGGGCGGTGGTCAGCCTCTCAGCCGGACTCTTGACGTTCAGAAGCTGTGGGAGGAGACAGTGTGATCGCGTGTCATTAACAGATCAGGGCATTGGATGCGCCTAAGAGCAAGTGACCCACAGGGCAGGCGAACAGCTGGGGAGGACGGAGAAGCCGGTGGGCGAGCTCTGCGGGGTCAGGGCGGGGCAACCAGAGACCAGGTGTCTTGAAGGTGAGGCTCTTGGGACACGCGCTTGGAGGACAGGGTCTCCCCAGGCGTGAGTTGGGTGGGCAGCTCGGGTTCTCCCGCCCCAGTCACATAAAGCCTGTGCAGCACACAAGAAGCGATGAACACACGTCACCTAATGGTGTGTGACAGAGTGTTGGCAAAACTAAATGTTACGGGGCCTCCCCTGGTGGCGCAGCGGTTGAGCTCCGGGTTGCGAAGCTGCCCCCAGCCTCTGCAGCCTCGGTTCGATCTCCGGCCGCCGGCGAAGGTCCTACATGGCGCGCAGACCTCTCCTGCCGCCCGCTGCTCCCCTCAGCAGTGTGCTTCGGTCCTTCTGCCTGCTCTGCTCCCCGCTCTGGCTCTGGTGAATTCTCTCATTCTCCCGCGCTTCTGACTGTACCCAGTGCTTGTATGAATCAATCAATCAATCAATCAATCAATCAATCTTTAAAATTAAAAAAAAGAAAGAAAAACTAAATGTTACGTTACCACGCTCGAGAGCTAAAGAGAAAACCCTAAAGTCACACATAAATCTTTGAGCAGCGGATTTGGCGACTGCTGCCGCCACGTCAGTGGGTTCAGAGAATTAACTCCTCATTTGCCAGGGAGAGTGGGAGGACTGGAGTGGGGACTAGAACTGTGGCTGTGCTGTGACACCAGCTGGGTCCCGTGCCGGACTCCTGGGTCCCGTGCCGGACTCCTGGGTCCCGTGCCGGACTCCTGGGTCCCGTGCCGGACTCCTGGGTCCCGTGCTGATATGCTGCTGCTGAGCAGGTGGGGGTGCTGAGTGGGCCTGCCGGTGCCTCAGGGTCAGGTGCTTCTCTGTGCCCTTGACGGCACAGTCCAGGGCGCGGAGTCCAGGCCGCGGACACGCAGAGGCCAGATGGACGCCGCTGCATGGGTGGGAAGGTCAGGGATGTTGAGAGGAAAACGCAGCTGGGAAGTTCCCGGGAGGGAGGCCGCGGCCGGGCAGGGGCAGGCGAGGGGAGAGGGGAGCCTGGCTCTGTGGGGGACACCTCTGCACTGGGAACTGCGGGCTGCGTTGTGAGGGTTGCAGGTGCTTGTGTGCAAATGTCCGCACAAGCGCAACATGCGCGTGCGCACGCACAGCACACTCGGCACGCGCCGCGCACGCAGCACGCTCAGGCACAGCAGAGGCCCTCCCAGGAGCCGCCCCTCTGGTTAAGCCTGAAACCAACCTCACCTCACAGCACCCCGTTCACGCCGACGGCCTCAGCCTGCTCAGCCCTGCTGCCCGCCGGGGTCTGCTGCGGCCCTGGCGCCGGGGCCGGCGTGTGGCTGGCGCCCTGGCGAGCCTTGCCTGGCACCCCGGCAGGTGGGCTGACTGCTGGAAAGGGGTCAGATTCTCACCCCGGCTGGGGAGCGACTGAGGGGAGAGCGGAAGGGGTGATTGAGGCCAAGTGAAGATTCCAGCCCATTCTGTGATGTCAGCAGCGCCCCGGGAACCGGCCCTCCAGCCCTCCCCGGCCCTGGCAGTTGGAATCTGTTGGGGCGGTTGGTCCTTCCCTGGTGGACAGAGCTGGGCGGCAGGGCCCCCGAGTGGTAGCTGTGACCCAGGCGGACGGGAAGGAATCTGAGGACCTGCCAGTCCGTGTCCCAGGCCTGGCCGCCTGCCTGATGCCAGCCCCAGCTGCCCTGCTGCCCAGGGGCCGGGAGGCTGCGTCCAGGCTGCGTGCTGCGGGCCAGACCAGCACTCCTGCCCCTGCCCGTGGGCCCTGGCGGCTGCGGGATGCCTGGCATGGCGAGGCTCTATGGTGAGGAGGCTGCGTGCGGGAGGGGGCGGCCCTGCTGAGGCTGGTCCTCCGCGGCTGCGTGGGGTCCCTGTGTCAGTGAGGCTCCCTGAGTAGCTGGGCTAAGGGTGTGTGCGGTGGCCTTGAGGCTTCCTCTGCTCGGTACCCCAAGAGGCCAGGAGGAGCCACAAGGGGAGGACAAGACAGAACCGGCAGAGCAGCCGGGAGGAGGCGGGCGCAGAGCAGGACACGGGACAGGGAGTTGGGCGAGGCAGGTGGCCCCTGCCCGGCGGCCCGAGGAAGGCTTCTGGGAGCACCGGCCTCCGCTGCGCTTTGCTGGGCTGTTTGCTTTGGTCGTGGACTGCTGCACACAGGTACTGGTGGCCCTGGGTGGCTGGCGGGGCGACGTGGCAGAGGGCGTGGCCTCTTGGGTTGGCAAAAAAACCCTGAGCTTGGCAGGCCTGGGTGGCCACAGTGGACTGGCCAGCAGGCCTGAGGTGGCCAGAGTGGACTGGCCCGCGTGTGCGCAGGCTGGCGGCCTGGGGCCCAGCTGGTGGGGGCAGGGAGAGCCAGGGAGCAGCTGGGCAGCCAGGCAGATGGCCGGCTCTTTCCTTACCCAGCTGCCCGCCCCGGGGCCTTCCACTTCCCGGTCAGGGGTGACGCTCGGAGTGTCCCTGAGTCAGGCGAAGAAGAGGCGGGATCGCGGGCGTTTGTTCTTTGGAAACTTCCCGCCTTGACGAGTCTGTGACCCGCCCACTGCGGTGGCTTAGGAGGACGCGGAGGCGCGTCTCCCCAGGGAGGCCCGAGGCTGCCGGCCTCTGCCCCTGGCCGGGCCGCGACCACGTGTGCCCTCATTCCAGAGAGGGGACCCCTCCGGCCTGGCCCAGTGGTATCTGGGGACCCCTACTGTTCTGCTGAGTCGGGCTCTTCCCTCTCTTTTTCCAACCAAAAAAACCTTGAAAACAAGTTGCCGGTGACTTTGCAGATAGTTCTTGAAAGTTTTCTGTTTCGAGATCTCTGAGATATCGTCAGTTTCCGGGCCGCTCGGAGGTGGAAATAAGGAGACAGAATCCAGCCCGGGCGCAGCACAGTCACGCCCGCATCCTGGTCCCTCTCCAGCAGGGCCGCGGGCCGGGGAGCGCCCTGGGGCGGGCCTGCCCTTGGCGCCCTGACCACCTGGCTGGCCGTGCGGCCCCCTGCGGGGTCCTGCGGTGGGGGGGGGCGGAGGAGGGGCAGGGGCGTTGCCGAATGTCCGGCCCTCACCAGGGGGCGAGTCCGGGCGCGCAGCTCCAGCTCTCTCTCCCCGGCAGGTGCACCCCGCCGGGCTCACGGGGAGGTGGTTCTGCTGCCGGCGTGGCCGTTTGCTTGCTGGCTCCAGCGGGGTCCGCGGAGGGCCCGTCTCTCCCTGGCGCGTCCTCGACGCCCCGCGTTCACTCGCGAGCGTGGTGCTGCGATGCTTTCGGGTGCACAGAATGATGGTTTTTGAAAAACCCCACTGTTCCTACTGCATTTAAACCGTGAACTGTGTATGAAAGACGAGCGCCTCCTTTTCTTAAGCTCTCTCCTCGCGTGTCGCCCGTTCCAGTCCGCGGCTGGGTTCGTGTCCTGCCCCCTCAGCGGCCCAGGCCTGGCCAGAGCTTCCTGCACACGCCCGAGGCGCCCACCTGCCCTCTGCCCGGGATGTCCGTGTCGCCTGAGCTTGACTGGGACCTGCAGTGAGGCGTCCCGGCCGCCCTAGGAGTGGGGATCCTGCCCGGTGGGGGCCCTGCGGGACCTCGGGCCTGCTCGCCGCCGTGGGGTGAGCCCCTGTGGGGGCTTTGCGTGGGTAAAGATAGGACAGGGTGCCTGACTTTAGGGCTCTCCCCAGCTCCAATGCAGCACTGCGGGAGCGGCGCCAGGAAGGCAACTTAAACAATTATGACTCAAAATCACCCGTATAAGAAGCAAGTCCGGGAAAGCTGGTGTTTCAGGCGAGGAGGATTCGGCAAGAATTTCATTGCAGTGGGAGTGCTGAATCCCTCGACTTGGGGGTGATTTGTTGGCTCTGACGGAGTGAAGGAACCTGAGGAAGCTTCTCGTGGTCTTTGGGGTTTGGACTAGTCTCTGCATCCCTCACTTGCTCAGAATGACCGCAGGGTCCAGAGGGAGCATCTTTGCGGGATGGGGTAGGCCGGGAGCACGTCTGCTGCTCTCAGGCTTCTTCAGTGATCGTTAGAGTCTCTCACGGCAGGCGCTTGCCAGCCTGGCTTTAAAGAAATTGAAATGTGTCTAAATCATGTTTTAATATTAGCGGTAGATTTTGCTCTTGACTAGTCAATACATGAATCTTTTGGGTTTTTTTTAGTCTACGGTAGTGCCCCGTGTTTTTGCTGTTTTTACTCATGTTAGAACGTTATCATTAACTTTCCTAATTAGGGCTTTAAAAAAGTTGAAGTGACACTGGTCTCTGACGTTGTGTGGGGTTCAGGTGTGAACCCGCATCCCCGTGCACTTCACGGGGCTCCTCACCAGGTCTCTGTCCGTCCCCTGCACGGAGCTGACCGCACTCTCCCCGCTGACGTGGGTCTCCTCCCCTTTACTCCTGCTCACCGTAGCTTGTTCTTGCAGTCACATTTGTTTGTTTGTTTGTTTTATTTATGCACACAAGAGCTGGGGCACAGGCCAGAGGTGTGGGGGTGAGAGGACACACCAGAGACAGAGTGGGGAGCAGAACAGGCAGATGAAATCCACTGCTGAGGGGAGCAGCGGGGAGTCAGGAGAGTCTGCCGCGCCCTGTGGGTGGCTCCCTGGCTGGCGATTACACTCGTGCAGCGGAGGCTGCGGACAGCTTCACAGTGCTGAGACTATGTGCCATCAGGGTGGCTCCTTATTTTTAAATTTACTTTGATTTAAACTGGTCACTGAGAAGAAATGACTATGCAAGTGTCAACACTACTTTTGAGCCTGATGTTTCTTTAGCTTCAGTAATTCCTCCGCCCCTCCCCAGGTGTGTGCATCTCACGAGTGCGTGAGCCGGGGCAGCTGCGCCGTCACCGCAGTGCGGGGGCGACGTGACGGGGAGGCTGTGGCTTTGCAGCTGCAGGCACAGCGAGCCCTCGAGGGGCGTTTGGGCGAAGCCGAGACATCCATGGAGCTCGCACGGGGCACGGCGGTGGGACGTTCCACGCCCGGAGTGAGAGCCTGGCCAGGAACGGACACCGGCGTAACCCAGCCTGCCCCAGGCTGGCTTGTGGCCGACTTCTTGGCCTTCTCTGCGCTCGTTCCCCCGTCTGTAACAGGGAGGGAATGACTTGGTAGAAAGTCATGAAGGATACACGGAAGCGTGTGTGTGAGACGCCTGGCCCCCTGGCCTCCCGCGCTTGTTCGCTGTCATCAGGACTGGTTTCCTGTGCAACAGCCTCCCGTGGCGTAGTTAGTAAAATTGGGAAAAGCCAAGCTCCAAGATTTTCTTGAAATGAACGTGGGTATTATTTTAAATGGAAAGTCAGTCATTAAAAAATGGTTATTCCTCTGCTTCTGAGGCTCTTCTAGCCTCTGTAAACATCTTTGAAACATTTTTACCAATGATTTAAAAATTTGCCTCCTCCTCCAATGTGTCTGCAGTTGAAAATACTTACTTTTGAAGTACTTCTTAGAAGAATCTTATACCTTTAAATCTGTGTGTCAAAAAAATTAAAATCACGTAATATGCATATTTAAATTTAACATTTGCCATTTGAAGTGCTTTTCTCCTACTTGACATTCCTTAATTTTTCTGTAAATTAAATTTGCACTTTGAAGTTTAAACACGACTGAAACTGCGACACACCTGGGTGGCCGGGCTTTTTGAAACCTGTTTGCCTCACTTTCTAGCTCGGTATCGGGCTTGCAGTTCGCACCGCACAGGCGGAGCAAACCCCAGGCTGCGGCGCCTGCCTCCTAAGTTGCCAGTTTTCCCGCCGATGTGTTTGGTTTTCCAGTCACTCCTCCAGCCGTGCGTCCACCTGTCCATCAACCCAGTACCGACATTCTCTGTGTCAGGCGTGTGTCTGGGGATGAATGTGATGAATTAAAAGCCCGAGGGCTGGGCCTCCCTGGTGTGAACGCTGCGCTGGTTGAGCGCTGCGCTGTGAAGCTGTTTGCAGCCTCTGTAGCGCCGGTTCGATCCCGGCTGGTCGCCGAGGGTCCCACATGGCGCAGCAGACCTCTCCTGCCGCACCCGCTGCTCCCCTCAGCAGTGCACTTCGTCAGTCTGCCTGTTCTGTCCCCCGCTCTGTCTCTGGTGAGTCCTGTCACCTTCCCGCGCATCTTGTCTGTACCCCGGTTCTTGTATAAATAAAGAAAAAAAATCTTAAAGCAAAACAAAAAAACCCGAGGGCGCCGTGAGCAGCGGTGCACACACAGGCCAGCCGGGACACCCTCGCTTGGTTTCACAGCTCCCCGCTCTCTTTCATTTTTGATTATTTCACTTAAAGCTAAAATGAGATAAGGAAACGAAACATCTTTCTTTAGCTGGTATATTTTTGGTGGCATGGAATGGAAATAGGAAATGTATGTCGTGGGCCCGCTGGCGTGGCAGCGGGGCACGGAGTCAGGCAGGGCCTGCTTCTCAGGAAAGCGGGGGTCGCGGTGTGTCTGAGGCGCAGGAGGGACGGGCCAGCCTCCCTCGGGCCACTGCTGCGTCTCCTCCCACCCCTGACCCCAGGCGGACGGGCCCCTCCCCGCTGTGGCCTCAGGCCAGGCCCCATGTCAGGGCCCGCCCATGCCCGGCACCCCACCCTGCAGATGAGCCTGGCGTACCCCTGCCCTGGCTGCTCGGTTTGACCGCGAAGCCGCGGGGACCCGGCGGGGTCGGTGCAGTGTCGAGAGTGTTTTCTTGGCTGAGCAGCCGGGGCCGCAGTTCGTGCGCAGTGGAGCCCTGAGGGGCTCGTGCGTCTGGTCTGGACACAGGCGCCGTGTTCTTAGAGGCGACTGTTCACCTCTGCGGCGCCCTCTGCCTTGGGAGTTCAGAATAGAAGCCTCGATCCCACTGCGCAACTGACTTCATTAGCAGGAGTGATTTCTCTAAATAGTAGAAACTTGTTTCCAGTGACTTTGAAGTCGAGCATGGAGTGTTTTTTTTTTTTTTTTTTTAATAGAGGAATGTTTTTATTTATTTATTTATTTTTGTTTTGTTTGTTTATACAAGCACTGGGTACAGTCAGAAGCGCGGGAGGGTGAGAGAATCCACCAGAGCCAGAGCGGGGAGCAGAGCAGGCAGAAGGACCGAAGGACACTGCTGAGGGGAGCAGCGGGCGGCAGGAGAGGTCTGCGCGCCATGCGGGACCCTCCTCCGGTGGCCGGGGAGCAGCCGGGGATCGAACCGGCGCCACAGAGGCCGCGGGCAGCTTCGCAA